GGGGGGGGGGGTGCCCTACCACAAGGCTGACAATCAACTGATCGTCAGCATCAGGACTGGAGAGTCCTGGGTCCCAAACTGGGCTTGGTATGTGGGCAGCCTTGTCCTGTAGTTTCCATAGGGCCTGCAGGCCAAGGCTATCCACATGCTGAGTTTGTGGGGAGCTCTGTCATCAGGATTGGATAGAGGCAGTCCCTGGATCTGGGACATGGTACACCCCTGCCTGATCTCCAAGTTTGGGACCAGTACTGACCCCTGCCCTTACTGGGGTCCTGGACATAACCATTTTCTTCCTGATCCCTAGAATCAAGGACAGGGCAGCCCCAGGGTCTGAATGGCAGCGTTCCCCTTTTCAGTAGACTGTATCTTATGTGTCTCCTCTTCTAAAGTTTTCTCCCCCTGTGGTAGTTTTTTTGAAACTGTGTCAATGTGTGTTAGAAGTTATACCTGCATTGATAAAATTACCAAGTGTTTGGTTGAATGCATGCAACTCAAAAAACAGACATTTTGTTTAAATGAAAGCTGAGTTAAAAAATGTGCTTCACTTAAGTCTGATATGGAAATAAGCAGGCTAGGAGGTGACTAGAGAACAGGAATTAGGCACTATGTAATACGATCATATAAATAATATAGCAGTTAGGTCATAAATGATTACTTGGTTGTATTGTCTTTCCTTCTAGGTTTACAGAATGTTAGAAGTGACATGGGACAGCCCTGAGTGTGGGACATGGTTGCCCCCTCCTGATCCTTGGGATTAGGCAAGGCACAGTCCCAGATCTGGATGTGGTTGCCCCCTAGTCTGATCCCTGGGATTGGGCCTGGTGCAGCTACAGTCCTGGTTTGGCCATGGCAGTGGCATGTTTAGCATCTGAGGAATTTTCTGCTCCATCCCAAACATCATGCCTCCTGCCATGCATGTGTCATGGCAGGAGGCATGATGTTCAAGGTGGGGCATAACATTCCTCAGATTCCATTTGTATTATTATTGTAATGTCTGACAGAGACAATGGTGAACACCCAAAAAAGATAACCTGAACTGCAAACTATGGGTTAATTTGAATCTAGACATAAATGTTAACATGGTAGGCAGTACTTATTTGGAAGGAAAGAGGTTTTACTGGAATCCTTAAAACTGATCAGGGGAATCTCTATCTTAATTGCCTTCTGTTCTGAAGCTTTGTCTCTTTTTTTTAATTTGTATCAGTATGTTAGGAGTAACACCTAATATTAATAAGTAATTATTAATTATGCATTAACATAATTACAAGAATATATGTCAATAAGTAATAGACCAGGTGGTTAGTTGAGTGCATGTAATTTCAGAATTTTTCATCCCAAGAAATAGATATCTGGTTTTTACTTTAAATGGAAGCTGGGTTAAAAAAATGCATGTCAGTTAAGTCTGATGGAGAGGTGAGCATGTTGGGAGGTGACTACGGAACAGGACGTTGGCACTATTAAATATGTTAATTTATATGAATGTAAATAACAGAGATGTAAGGTCATAAATGATTATTCAGTTGTACTGTCTTTCTTCCTAGGTTTCATCCAGAGAATATACAAGAATTTCTTTCTATCAAAAAGACGAAGAGTGAAGGCTGGAAATGCGATGTAAGCATTACTTTGATTTTAGAAAGATCAGACATCTTGAAGACTTATACTAAGTTTTCAAAAACTATATTATATAGAAATTACTTAGTTTTATGGCTTAATATGCACTATAATTTTATGTTTGCTGTAGATCTCAGTAAGCTGTGCAGGCCATAATGAAGTTTTGCTTTTCTGTCAGTTGAGTTGAATTTTATTAATTGCTAAGTTTAGGACTTTGTAGCTCTGTATAAAGGACCACATTTCATTTTATAAGTGGCAAGGGATGTTAATTTTTTACTAAGTCCTCTGTCATGTTTTTGCAGCTATTTCATGTAAAATATGAATTTAGTGTTATGAGTAGCAGAAAACAAATATAGTATTAAGAAATTAGAACTTTATCTCAATAAGTTTTCCTTCATACTTTATTTGGCTGCATGTTCATGCCAACTGATCAGTTCACAGATACCAGGTGGCCTTTTGTGTCCCATAAATGAGGAGGATCCTCTCTTTGAATTCTCTAAGGAGGGTAGATATCAATGGTATTTCATTTTTTAAAAGAAAAAAATGAAAAGAACCCCCCCCACCACCACCACCACCACCAACTATATGATTTATCTTGTCAATTTCTTTAGTGTTTCTGGAATCAGATTTTTTTTTTTCTTAAGTAATTTATTTTACAAGAAGTGGAACATTTTTAGTTATCCAAATACTTACACAGTAGTTGTACCTACACTCATAAGGACCTGAACTTTTGAACAGGTAGCATAAGCACGTTCCTTTGTTAAACTTGCTTATTTTATGTTTTGATATGAGCAGTAATTGTTTGGGAGACAGGTAGATGCTTTGGAACTTCAGAGATGCTGGTGTACCTCCCCCAACCCCAAATCATTCTTGACATAGTCACTATCACAGTGGTAGAACCCTTTATGTAGGGAGTTCTGTTAATAGTCTGTCAAGTGCATGTTTAACAGTTCTTTCTTTCAGATGAGAAGGAAAGTTCATTACAAACCTCATCATTTAGTAAAAATTACTAATTATACAATTACAAAAATAATATGGAAATCTTAGATCCTGCAGAACTGACAGTACTTGCTTTCAAAGCTTGCATCTGTCTGGCAAGGGAGTAAGTGTATTTGGTAAACCCTGCCTTGTATACTACTTTTAAAATATGTTTGCCATTTATGTTGTTGGTGATCAGTAGTTGATCCTGGATGGCATAAAGAGGAATGTGGTAGCGATGGAGAGAGAACTGCCCATGTGTCCATCTGCTGAGACTGGAGTTCTCAGTGGCGAACCAGAGTGGGAGTACGACCATACAACTGTACCTACACTCTCTCTTGATTCATCCCTGCCTGTGATTTTGAAAGGTGGAATGGTGGTTATTTCTCTTTAGTGACACACATTAGAAAGATGGCACTGAAACTATGAAGCAGGGGTAAGATTTTAACATGTGTAACAGGGGGAGAATCTAGTGTAAATCTACTTCAAACATTTAGGCTTCAGAATGTTTCTATGTTTCACCAAGTGATGTGTACCAGTCTGAGGGCTCACGTGCTGAAAAGTAATTGTTTGAACATTAAACTTTGTGTGTGCGCACTTTTTGGACCATACAAGAATACCAGGTAAACTTCAATCCCAGAAGTTGGAATTATAAATGGAAGCAAACGGAACATTCTTGCTTTCACAACTCCTAAGTTGTGAGGAGTTATGGAGTCCTACACTTAGATTTGAATTACATTTATTTGGTCATAATTTATTAAATATGTGGTGTTATCTTCTGGGGAAAAAATACTGTAATTCAAATTTTCTCTCAAAATGACCTGTGTGATGCATGCAGTGACTGGAAGACATTGGCTTATGTTCAGTGGAAATGTAAATACTGGCAACAGTAATTTCCAACAAAATCAGTGGGAGCTGTTTCTCTTTGTAGCATGGTATTAGCCAGTGAATCTGAGACTTAACATCTACTTTAATTTTTGGCATTTGAGAGATGACATTCTTTACATGTAGTGCTATAATTGGTTGTAATCTGTTTATATGCAGACACAAATTTCATTGGTTAAACTTTTTTGTTTTGTTTAATCTGTGCTGTTGGGAAATGTACAACTGGAAAATAAGGGAGAACTAATCCAGATAATTTAATGTATTTAGTGAAATTGGATATATTATGTTGTGCAGCAATTAGAATTTTTCTGTTTACTGGGTGGAGCTATCATCTGTATGATTTAAAATTGTCAATACAAATGTTTTTCTTTAAATCTATAGTAAACACCAATTGTTTTAGGGGCTGTAAAAAACAACAAACAAAAAAAACCCCACGGTTTATTTCTAGTTGATTAGATGCTTGAACAAATGTTTCTGTCATTTTAGATTTGTAAGAAATCTTTTGCTCGAAGACTCCATTTAGAAGAACATATGATTCTTCACTCGCAGGATAAACCTTTCAAGTGTACCTATTGCGAAGAGCACTTTAAATCCCGATTTGCAAGATTGAAGCATCAAGAGAAATTCCATCTCGGTATAGAAACCTCTTTCTGACTTTTAAATTATAGATCTGAAGTAAACGTGTTCTTCTTGTGATGTGCATCCCTACCCAATTGGTAAAATTGGTCTGTGGGCAGAACCAGGTTCTGGACCTGGTGCCTCACCCAAACCCTGGAGGCAGGTAGAGGAGGTGCCATGAGCCTAATATAAGGGAAATCACTGTGCCCCAGACCTTTAAAAAGCAGGTGTGCAGCTGGAAGACCCAGCTGCACACCCAAGAATGCACCTGTAGCTGGGTTGTAGCCATGCTTTTTAAAATTCCCTGGGTGCTCATACCTAAACAGCAGGGAGAAGTTCTCCAGTCTCTGGCTTCTAGTGCCTAAGGAACTTGGACAGCCTGGCTGTGGGGGGATAAGAATCTCCTGTTAGTGTTTAAATTCCCCAGTAGGTGAAGCTTTGGACCCCACCCCCCAATAGCAGGGAGCCTCCAATTACCTGCATCTGATAGCCTGGCCAGAGTTTCCAGGTTTCAGCAATCAGCTAATTGTAGTCTTGGCCCTGACAACCATGGTCTCAAACAGGACCTGGGGTCTCCCAGCCAGTATTGACAATCAGCTAGTTTTCAGCTCACTGCAGTGGTGACTCCAACTGGCCCAGATCAGGAGCTGTATGTTGGCTCCCACCACAAAAATCAGCAGATTGTTAGCTGCAGCCACAGATAGCATAGGAGCTTGTTCAAATCCCCTGAATTCCTGGGTGCCAGAGCTGGCAAGCAGCTTAGTGTTCATTCTTTCTGGATCTGCAGGCACTCCACTTTCAACTTGCTGGTTCAGTGACGGTAAGTTTAGGAACAAATCCCTGATTGGTGCCCCGTGCCATGCATATATGTTACACTATAAACAAGAGAGTTGCACTCTTAATCTGTGCTAGGTGTTAGTATTTTACAAATACAGTAAAATCTTTGTTATCCAGCATTTAAGTAACAGGAAATTCTATTAACCGGAATTTCTGGCTGGTTGGTCATATGCAGGAGGGGGTGTGGGAAAGCTTGCACACAGCAGCTGCTGCCACCACTCACCACCTTGTGCTGCCGCCACTGCCAGCTCCCCACCCCGCTCCATCTGCAGCTGGGTTATTTCAGATAACCAGAATTTTTACTTAACCAGCAATCCCCTTACCCCGGGGATGCCAGATAACAAAGATTTTACTGTATTATATTGGTCTGACTATGGATTCCGCTTTTACATTTCTGTTAGCCACTACCAGATCTGATGACTTCCAGATCATGCTGAAGGTCTACTTCTTGTCAACTTTTCCTTCTAGGAACCTGAATTTGGTTGGTAGTGGCAATGCTAATTTCCATTTGGAAAAAATTCAGATGCACCTAAGTTATTGTTGTATATTAGTACTAAATTTTTGTTTTTATAGTAGTTGCACATGTTTCCAGAATATTTGATTTTGAAAATCAAACTGAAATATTACAGGATAAATTGCCAAAAGAAAAAAAATCTTGTACTTGAAATTGCCAAAAAGATTTGTTATAATATATCAATAATGTGTTAGGCCATCTTTTTGTTGCAGATTACAGTAAAGCAGCTCATATGCATTACTCACAACTTACTACTGTGTTGTGTATTTTCTGCCAGGACCTTTCCCATGTGATATTTGTGGTCGTGAATTTAATGACACAGGAAATCTGAAACGTCATATAGAATGTACTCATGGAGGAAAGAGAAAATGGACATGTTTTATCTGTGGAAAGTCAGTAAGAGAAAGGTAAGGAGTTACAGACACTTGACTTAGCCTTTGATTTTTTAATGTAAAAGAAAAGCTTTTGAGGTTTTTAAAATAGTTAACTTCTGGAGGTTATTTCAAAAGTAGTATCTCTGATAGAAGTCAACGTATGAAAATAGTTTTTGTTTATATTGAGGTGTAATTGAAATACTACAGCTTGTATTAAGTTTCTTTCTGTTTTCCTTTAAGAAGAAAATAAGGATAACAGAGAAAGATAGCAGTCATTTAGTCATATAAGCAAATCTAGTTAAGTGCACTTTGGGCTGTATACACGTGTAACAGGGGGTCCCAGCTCTGTCCCTCTTAGAGGGATAAAGAACTAGAGGGGACATTGGGGTCCCTTTAAGATTTGGACTTTAGCCTGGAGGGATAGATCTCCAGATTAGCCAGCAGCCACACAAGCACAAAGCCAGAAGCCTAAGGCTGCAGGGGAAACGTGGGCAAGCTGCCTGCTGTGAGCAACAGGTAGAACTGTAGCCAAGCAGTTAAGTGAAGCCTGCAGAATAACTAGATAGGCAGAAGCTGGCAGAGAAGCAGGCTTGTTAACTGATTGAGAAGAAACCCCTGGGCCTATTTACAAAGATGAGAGGTGGGTGATTGGAACAGGTGGAGTCAAGTAGTGGAAAAGCCTAGTTCTGGCTCCAGAGCAGGCAGTTTGGTTCCCTGATCTTTAGAGGGAAAGGAGCTCCTGCCAGTTTAAACTGTGAGAGAGAAAGCTGTAGGAAGATACCTTGAAGGCTGGGATGTAGCCAACAGACTGGAGAGAGGTTTTTGCAGCACTTAAGACCCAAGGCAGGGTTTATATTTGAGGTAGAAACTAGTCAGTTACTGTTTTGTGTTTTTAAATTAACTGGAGGCTTGTATTATAGGCCAGAGTATTGGTAGGTTGAAAAAGAGAGAACTCTGCCAGGACCAGGTGGGTGGGTGTGAACTGATGCCCAGACAAGGCTAGAGGATCTGTTGAATGAAATTAGAGTAATACTCATGAGGCATGGGTGTGGCTATGGGGGAGGCTCGAGACCATGATTAGTGCTCCTAAGGCATAGGTGAGGCTATGGTCAATGCACTGTGAGACACAGAGGAGATGGTGAATGCAGGGCACCGTTGCACAGATGGGAATGGGATTTTGAGTGGTACAAGTGGGCTAAGTCAAGCGTAGATTCATTCTTAGCCCACTTACAAACTCTTGGGACAACCTCCCAAATTAGCACACAGATAACATCAAGGCATGGCAGACAGAACAGAGAGGGTGGTGTTATCCTGGGGGACTGGACTGGAGTAGGACTAGATTGGCCACCAGATGGTGCCACGGCTGCCTGAGACAGGGTCTTGTCACAACACTGAATTGAAAACTTTGTGCTCTTTGTTTAGATTGACGGTATTGGGCAGGGGCAGGGGGTGAAGTCATCATTAAAATACTAGCTAGCAGTAACAATAAGGCATATAGTAATTACACTGGGCAAATTTGCATTTTTCATTAAGCATATGCATTTATTTTGTTTTCAGTAAAACATATTAGGTACCCTTTTCAGAAAAAAACTATTGAAGAATTTTTTTTGTGCTGTTTGTAATTTTGCCCTATGTTTACCTAACATAGTTTGTCAGTGTTGAAGGTATAGAAAACATGCAGTTCTACCAACACTTGTAAATGGTACTGACACCATTCTTAAATATTACCCTTTTATTTATTGTGTTACGCAGAACAACTTTGAAAGAACATCTGAGAATTCACAGTGGAGAGAAACCTCATCTTTGTAGTATTTGTGGGCAGAGTTTTCGTCATGGAAGTTCCTACAGGTAATGAAACATTTTTATTTGGAGAGAGATGTCACCTCTTCTTTACATATGGTGTTCCATGCATGTATGCGAGATGAACTTATGTTCAATTTCCTGTATTTTATGAGGGATAATATTGATAACACCAATACCATTGTTTTGGTTTTTTCCAACTCAAAAGGAATAATTACTTTAAACACAGTTTTGATTAAATAAATGTCGAACCATTTTGGTGGTGTTGCATGAAATCATCTCACTTTTAATAAATTAAATTTGGGACTCAAATAACATGACATCCTTTTCATGTAATAAAAATAATTTTCTTCATTCCAATCAAACTCCCAAGAAACAAAAATTAGTATTCGTCTTCCCTCAAATACAGTACAACTTATATTGAACTGATGTCTTTGAAGTCTTCCAGACTAAGTACTGTTCATGGAAAAGCCCTGGGAACTAGAAGAACCTAGCTTCTGTGTTTTGTATTTTCAAGTGAAAGTTATATTCTAAAAAAATAATTAAAATAACTGAATGGGTCTGTATGTGTCTTGATGACGCACAAAATTCAGCAGAGTTTTGAATCTAAGTAAAAATTATAGTTATCCACAAGCACTGCAAATTTAATTTGGAATATGAAAGTTGATCTGCATTATTTTTTTTTCTTGTTTAACAGTTAAACACTAATAAGTTGGAAATTTAATAATTTAGTTCTGTAAGCAAGAAAAGAACACAGGTGACCTGCAATGCTGTTTTCTTTAAGATGCTACAGTACTTCACAGTCACTTTTACAACCACAATCATATTAATACATTGACAAATGTATCTCTGTTTAATACAGACTTCATCTAAGAGTCCACCATGATGACAAGAGGTATGAATGTGAAGAATGTGGGAAAACATTTATCCGGCATGACCACCTAACAAAACACAAAAAAATACACTCAGGTAGGCATTGTCTTTGAAAATTGGCTTCAAATTATCAAGTGACTTAAGATGGTACGGATAGCCAATTTTGGATACTTATTTTTAATAGGAGAGATGTTTATGCTTGTTACTAATGTTACCTTTATTGCTTTTAGTACTATTTAAATGAAACTCTTATAAATTAAATATCTCTTCAGACATTTGCAAGTATGGAGAGCCAGATGTTTCCGCCATGTTAATAGAGTTGAGGGGAAGTCAAAAGGTGTAACTATGAATACTTTAAGAAAAGAAAAAAAGAAGCAAATTTGATAAAGGAGGATTTTTTTGAGTTCAGATTTCTTTTTTTTAATAGCAGTTGTGTGAAAAAATTAATTCCATAACACAGAAGAAGCTGTCACGGTATCTGTCAAAATTTGTACCCTGATCACTTTTAATATACAGTACAAAGATGAAAAAATGATACTTGTATTCTCTTGGTTTCTGAAGTTCCCTATTATGGATTGAGAGTCAGAACATAAAATGTATAGTAAGAGAACTGTGAACGCAGCAAGGTAGGTGAAAAAACAGGAGGAAAAAAATTAAAAAGCCACCTGTATATTTTGCACGTTGAGCTGAATGGAAAAAAGAATGGAAAAGTAGTTGTCTAAACGACATATTGGAGATTTCTTTCTTCATCCATTATGGGACCCAAAGGAATGTAAGACTCCCTAAAGTGTGGAAATTATTTTCTGAACTGAAGATATGAAAGTGATCAGAGTCCAAACTTTCTGCTTTAATAAGACAGCTTCCTATTTAGTGTTTGAAATTCTAACATTTGCTATAAAACAAAGAAATCTTTGAAAACTCAGAAACAAAAAAAATCCCCTTTTCTACTCCATATTTGCTTTTTTTTCCCCTCTAGAAAGTTACATTCTTTGACTGTCCAAACTCCCTCTACTTACATGAGAAGAAACATTCTGCCACTTTGTGGAGGATCTCAAGATGACTAAGAATCGAGACTTTTAAGCAACAGTATAAAAGATAAAAGGTAAATACTAAAACACCAGGGTGGGAAGAGATTATTGTGTAGAGGTAATACAAAGTTCTGAAAACTAACTACTAAACTGATAATGTAAGAGACATTTAAATTTGAGTTTACTTAAATACTTATGTGTATTTTGAGGTGTTTGGGGCTTGGATTGTTGCACAGGTAGTACTTTGTCTCAAAAAATGTAGATTTTCAGTAATTCTTCTGTACTTGATTCCTGTTCTCCTTGGATGGCTGTTTGGGGAAGAGCTTCCCAGTCATTAAAATTAGATGCTGCATTGTAGGGAGAAGAGGACAGGGAAAAAATAGCCAAAAATAAGGAGATGGATAAAAATTTAAACTCTTCTTGGACCATCCCAAGGTCTTGAAATCTTAATTTTGGACAATAGATAATCTTTTTGGTGTATGCTCTGAATATGTAATAAGAAAGCTTTAGGTTGGCTGAGGCCTTTGAACCAAATACAGTTATGAGTAAAGAGTTAATTATTTTTGTGAAGCTTTTGAATTCTTTTTACAATTTCATCAAAACATTATTTTCTTCTTTTATAGGTGAAAAAGCGCATCAGTGTGAGGAGTGTGGAAAATGTTTTGGCCGTAGAGACCACCTCACTGTACATTATAAAAGTGTTCATCTAGGAGAGAAAGTATGGCAAAAGTAAGGGATTTTTTTTGTTTGTTTTTTAAAACATTTCATTATTGTAAATGAAGATTGGACAGATTTTTTCCTGTGAGGAAACTTATGTGGGAACTGCTTTTATCTGCATTTCTCATATGTCAAGGCCATTTGTTGACGCTGATTCATATGCCAGTCCTTTTATCTTATTATTTTCTTAACACCCCTTTCAGTGTCTTGACAATCTAAACAAGACCAGTTTCTTCTGTTCTCAGTTAGGCTAGTAACACCAAGACTCAGATGGGGTGTCAGTAGCTTTAATATGTTCGTTAGTGACTAAATCAATGTTGCTTGTGTATCTTCTATATAATGACGATTTACAGATTAGTCAATATTTCTGATGTGTTAGAAGTCAGTTCAGAAATGCATAAGCTCTCCCAGAAGTGCTCTTTACAGAATCGGATAGAGACCAGCTTATCAGGGGATGTTGCAGGGTAGAGGTGCTGGGGGTGAGGAATAGCAACAACAGAGATGTAAACCTTAGTGGCAAATCTAGTAGATGAATTAACTGGAGTTTACTGTACTTGAAGCAGTACTGTACTTGGACAACCTGTAGGGCTAAGTATAAACAATCTGAAAGGCTGAATCAGTTTAGTTTTCACGGGTGACTCTAAACTGCATAGATTGAATCAATAAGCAAGTAAACAAAAATTAACTTTTGATTCTGGAAATGCAGCCATGTGCCTGGAGTGGCCCAGGCCAGAAGCCAGGCAGCACTAGAGCCCACCTCCCTGCTTGGCTGGAGCAGACAGCTTGGGCTAAGGCTAGCCTACCTACCTTGTGGTGTGGAGAGGGGAGGCAGGGATTGAGGAGGGGGGTGCAAAGCATCCTGGGCTGCTGGGGGACTGTGAGTTAACTTGAATCTGGAGGGGATCTGGGACAGTTGTTCAGTAAAGCAATTCAACATAAATCATCTAAGTCTGATACTACATCTGTCCAGGTTTATCTTAAACCGTCCATTTTGAAAGTGATTTATGTTCATTGAACTTCAGTTGTGTTACAGATTTAAACCAGTTTCCGATCACTTATACCGGTTTATGTGTAATTTCTGTCCCTAGCCTAGTAATGTAGAGAACAGGAAAAAGCTTTCGAGCTATCGTATCAGGAAGCAGTGTACCAGAGGTTTAGAGAAGTATCAGCAATGATGATTGATATTTTACAGGTTTAAAGGTTAGCTTCAAATGTTTATTCTGTTTTTGAATAACTACTGTAAATCAATGTAGCAGATTCGAGCCACAAGGGTGGCCATGATGCCCTCTGCTGGCTATGTGGCTCCTGCCTGGCTCGGCCTCTAATGTGGCCCTACCTTAACTGCTCGCTTGCCATGTCTTGATGTTATTAAAGTTAAGAAAGGGAGGCTGCCCACGGGCCTTAGAGAGAGCCTGAGTGCAGTCAACTCATCAATGGGTCCTTCCTGGACCCTGCTAGTCTCAAGCAGCCTTTGTGTTAAATAGGCCCTCTCAGCCTGGCAGTGCCCCTGCAGGGCACCTATAGCCTGAAGGGCAAATTGCATGGCTACATTCCTCCCCTACAGCACAACCCAAGCCTCACAGGTGTTACTGCTTCAGCAGGTTACTTTCCTTTGCCCCTCTTTGGACTCTGGGTCCTCCAACTCCCAGCCCCTCACACAGTTCCTCTCTGGGCTAGGGAAACCTTTGTACCATGTTCAGCCCCCTCTCTGGACTGGTCAGCTCGGTTGCCTTATTACAACCCTCCTCTGGGCTGGGGAGCCCTCTGTGCCCTGCTCAGCTTCCTTTGGGCTGGCAGGCTCTATTCCCTTTGCCTTCTATCCCATCCAGCCCTTTCCCTGGGCTGGGGAAATCTCTATGGATCTTGAGCCCAAGGCTAGGCTATCAGCCCGTACTCCACCTGGAAGCTGCCTCTCAGGCAGCTTCTCCCCTTAAAATGGCAGGCACACCACAGCACCATGCTACAATTATCCATAAAAGCAGAACTATATAAAATAATTACAAGGTTGTCTAGCTTGATCCAAAATATAAAGCTTTCATTTTCAGTTACAGTCTGTCTGCCTGCTGAAACAAATTGTGTTGTTCATTTGTTTACTTGGACTTATATTCTAGGCTTCCCACTATTTTTAATTTGTTAAATATGACAGCTTGCTACTAGAGAGAAGATTTATTTTTGATGTTGAACAGAGGGTGGACATAAAAGATGGTTCATTTGGGATTCTGTAGGGAAGTCTTGAAATGCTGTTTGAACACTCGGTGCTTACACCTCTTGCAGAACATAAGATTAAAATGAGAAGAGGCTTTAAGGGTGCGTTCAGATGAGTGTGCATGTGTGGTTTATGACACCTCAGACCTGTTTGTGGCATCTCAAATTGCACACGGTGAATGTGCAACTGTGCACCACATTGCAAATTGCAGTGTGGTGCCAAAATTTGATACCAGGATACGCCGGTATCAATTAAAAAAACAAAACAGAAAAACCCTGCAAAAAACGGCATGGTGCACATGGCAGCAGTACCAGCCAGAAATGGAGCATGGCCATCTAGACTCTCAGGTCCTAGCCCCAGCCTCCCCTACCCCACCCAGGACAATTTGGCACATGCGGAAGTGTCCATGCAGGGGCATGCCTGAGGCACAAAGCAGTGGCACAAATGTGTGCTGCTCCTTTTTGTGCCCCTGGAAACACATACCTTGCACGTGGTGATGCGCCCTAAGGGGCATTCGTGAAAAGTGGATACCCAAAGAACTTGAACACCTTTTCCAGTTACAAATTTTATATTGCAGTGTAAATGTACAGAAAAATATATGGAAACTTTTATTAAATAACCATTATGCAGTTAGAGATTCCACAAAGGACTTGATACATATTTGAGATGTTATTAGAAAAAAACCGTGAGCTTCTAATCAAAACGTTTTCTTTTTTCAAGATATAAAGCAACGTTTCATCAGTGTGAAGTTTGTAAGAAAATTTTTAAAGGAAAATCAAGTCTGGAAATGCATTTCAGGACACATTCAGGTATTTTTTTTTCACCATTGCTGGTTATCTTTTCTTAAGAGTGCATTTGAAAAGAAAATGCATCTATTCCTAACAACCAGAAATGTAGCCAAATAGCTGTTAGCTGGCTCAAGATCAAAACTATTTTAACTCTTCAGGTTTTAAGACTACTGTGAGCAGCAGTAAAAGGATATGGATTGAAGTACCTCCTCCTGTAGATTGCCCCTTTCTGAATGCTGCCCTCTGAAGGTATTGATCGTACCATTCTTAACTGCCCTAAAGGTTGTAGTTAAGGCTGCAAAAGTTCATTGCATCTTGCATCAGCCCATTGATTGCTGATGTACATTATACATTCTTATGCTTTCCAGTCATTTTGGTACTCTAGACCAGTGATTCTCAATCTGTTCTGTACCAGGACCCATTTGTAAGCATTCATGGCAAGTCCTGACCCAATAAGTAGTTAAAGTAAAAAGCACAACAGTATTTTGGTCCCAAAATCCTTGTTATACACTACAAGTTAAAGCAACTCAACAGTCTTAATTTTAAAGATAGAAATCAACATCAACAGGAAAACTAACAATATCAACATATGGCCCTCCATTGCTCCAAGTGACATTCATCATTGTATAACATGCACAATTTAGAATGGTGGTGCCCCTCACTCCCAACTTGCAGCTCACTGGCCCTGCTGGTGCCCTTCACTCCTGACCCCCTGTCCCCAGGTCCCAGCCCCTCAGTGTGTTGGGCAGGGATGGGAGTGTGGGGTGGAGGAAGGGGTGCGCCCACAGCAGGCATGGGGCTGCAGCCTGGCTAGACCAGCACAGGCAGGAG